ATCTAATTTAGTTCTTTCCTAGGTAAAGTCTTTCTGTTAACAGAGTTTCAGGCAAAATTATTTTTGACGCAAAATTGACCGGGTGGAAATAAGAGAGACAGCCTCTTAAATTAGGTCCAACAGATAATTTCACACTTGAAGGTTTACGAACATTCCATACAGAACTAATTTCTGTGATTTTGTGGAAACCATACGATTGCTTCATGGCCTTGCCTGCTCGAGTGCGACGTGTTCTGAGAATCCCTTGAATTTTCAGGAACTGGAAAAGGTCGGGTTGAAGTTTAGATTTAGCTCTCAAAACCAGCAATTGCTGCCGTGAATAATTAAGGGCTAAAGTGATCAGTCCATGTTTCGTTGTCTTGGAGATTGCAAGCGAAAGTTTGTCGGATGTAAATCCATGCGGTCGACGCTTGAAGTGAAAGGTAACGTTGAAGTAAAAGTTTATCAAACTATCCGCTGTAGGGTCGGCTGAAATCCAAAATCCAGCTTGTTTACGGTAGTAAATATCTTTAAAAGTGGATTTCCATTGACAATCCAAGCAAGTGAGGAAAGAAAACAACAAAAAGGCAAATAATATGCAGAGCTGTGAATTGTTACCGGCAGCCATGCTGGCGCATACATTATTCATTGGAGTTGGAGAACGTTTTAAGAAAAAAAATGTCTTTAAAATCTTTGTGTTTCTGTATTTTCTTCTGAGGCAAAAGGTTTTGAATCAGACCCGTTAGGCAACTAAACTGTTCCAACCAGCCATTGAAACAAACTGTGGGAAAAAGATATTCTCAGAATTTTCAAGACTTTATTCTTGAGTGATAAGAGAAAGGTAATAATCGCGTGCAAAACCTTTTCTCAACACAAAAATTTCTGAGCAATACTTTGCGCTCACATTAACAAAATCAAACTTGAACCCCATGAAGGTCAGTGCGCTGCCGACAAAAACGCTTTCACAAAGACATCCACCCACAGGTATCTGTATCAAACTCACGTTTTACAAGTTTAAACAAAGTCTGAACTATAATGAGATCAGAATAAGGGAACAGAAAGCGAAAACTTCTTTTCTATAATGTGCTGGGTTTACGCCATTATGTTGTTTGCAATTGAACCCTGAATCAAAACGCAATTGTGCCTGTCCCAATTTAAAGCGTAATCAATTTGGAAATGCATTGATGTAATCAGAGAAACAGCCTTGATAATACAGGAAAGACTGCTTACATCTTATGCCAACTATGCTGACACTTGTGGCATCATCTCCATATCCATTACTAGCTGTACATCTGTATGATCCTACATCCTCCCTCCTCACTTTCATCAAATGAAGCTGATATCCTATCACATTAAACTTGTCCACGGGAATACCATCTTCCGTCCAAGTTATATTTGGTAGAGGCTCACCGGACGCATTACAGATCAGAGCGTGGTTTTGTCCAAGGGTAAGCAAAGTCTTTGGTTGTGGCGGTTCAGTAATTTCTGGAGGCACTGGGAAATAACGATTTAAGATAAAGTCAATGTGTATGATTGTGCGATTTTATCACAATTATTGCATCGTAATTAAATTACAACTCTAATAAATTTCTCTCCAAAGGTAATGTTGATATTAAGAGAAAGTTGTAAAATAGTGGAGAGACAAAGATCAGCCACACAATAACATCTGATGAAAATATAATAATGGTAACATTCATAGTCATCACTAATAATACATACATACATGTCTTAGGTTGCTCAGTTAGAGACTCTTGCGTCTTTGTGGATAGTGCGCTGGACTCGGTATCAAGGGGTCCACGCTTAAGCTCTAAAGTATTCTGCACTTGAGCGAAGAGTGTACATCGGTGCCATCAAACTTTCATGACATAATACTGGGGGCAGCATTCATTGTGGGCCTATTTTGATGCACGTTGGGGTCCTAGTACTGTTCATGGGACTTCATTCTTATATGCGTCTCTTTTCGTAATCCGTTTTCTGACGATCTCAATGGTCAGAAGGAGCATCGCACGGAGAGATTTTCATCATATTACTTCGTTACAAAACTTGTTGCACTTTGTAATAAACTAGGTATAGACGGTCGGAGGGCGAGAAGACTCCGTAACAGCCATTATCTTCGTCAATAATGACAATTATTATATCTCCCGCAGCGCCCGTGGGCAATATCGAGCGAATTATGTGTTCTGATTGGTTTCCCGAGCGGGCAAGATAGGCTTTGATCCTGCGCAAGAAAAACGTTGCGTAGAGCGGACTTACAAAGTTCGTAATTTGTGAACGATGTAGCAATGGAGTCGCAAAGCGCGACAGAAGACAGTCAAAACAAAGAAAACGTAAACGGCTCTGGTGGGTTTATTGTGTTACAAACGCAGTTGCATTGGCTTTCCGTTCCGACTCTCGGCGAAATCTCGTTGCTATGTAAGAAATCCTTAATTGACCAAGATTGTTTATACTAAAGTTCGGATATAACGCGCATGCTGTCATTGAGTTAAAAGAGCGTGTTTTGTCAGAGAACAGAAATTTCAGAACGAGCGAGCCGGCAAGTAGCAACAGAAGAACCAAACAAACGTTTGCAAACACGCCAAGTGCCGTAATTGACGTTATTGTAATTCAGCCAATATCCTTGCATTGCGTTTATCACCCACTCGTATACCCGTACCGCACTATCGGTGCAGTGCTCTTCCAACTTAGCGAACAAGCCAACTGGGAGTTGTTGGTTTTGATGGTTTGTGATAAACCCGTGAAGTGACGTGTATATGAATAACATGTGTTTAAACATAATATGTTTAAACAACGGATTATTAAAAAAAAAAGAAGAAGAGAGCGATCTTCGCAGTAATGAACGCTACCTTAAGCAGTAGCGATACTAAATCCTGAAAAAGTCAGGCCCGTAAGGGAGGTGAACCCATGAGATAAGGGTTTCTATTATTTTGGTGCCGAGTAGTTAAGATTAGTCATGTGTGTGTGTGTGAAAGTTGTTATTTCAGAACATCAAACAAATATAATTTACGGTAAGTTTGATTTCACACCCTTAATCATGAACAACAACCTCATTTCATGAAATACTTTCCTCGAAACGGTTACTTTGTTCCTGTTTGACTGCTGGGAGGTAAATAGTACTTCGCCTATCTCTTCCGTTTAAGCCATTTAACCCGCCCGAAAACCATTACTCATTTGCCTAGTCGTTTCTCAATGTAAGTATTTATCTCTCCTGAAAAAATTATGTGGCAGGTTAATTTATAAAATAATTCAAATAGTACGCGCGCTCTGATTGGCCATAAAACCATTTTACATGAGTGTATGTAAACACGGTTTTTGTTCCTCTTTCATTAGTTATTTTATAAAAGAAATGTAAAATGGTTTTCGTGTTTACATAGCCTGATGTAAACACTTGGGAGGTTAGGAGAACACTTGATAAGCTGAAAACCACTCCGCTTCGCGTCGTGGTTTCCTACGCTTATCTCGTGTTCTCCCAACCTCCTGCGTGTTTACATCAGGCTATGTAAACACGGAAACCATTTTACATTTCTTCAGTGTAAACATTTTAATTTTAGTGGATAACAAATAGTTTCCATGTTGCATCTGTTCTCTAGCAGATCACAGACCATAAACAATATCATTATAGTCTTTATTTAAAGCTGATAGTCTGAATACTATTTGCTTGTAGGTATTGAATCAGTGACTGCATATTTCTAAAAAATGAAAATTTATGATTCATACCGTTAAAAGAATTTTACCAATTGTAGTGCTAGCTTCAAAAATGTTTGTAATTAACGTTGAAATCCACCCTAAATAATAAGAAACTTGATCAGGCTCTGAAATGTTTTTAAAACATTTGTAGAATGATTTATCTTAATATGCTGACTGCCGTTCAAGGATGAGATATAGAGGTCACCAAACTCGTTATAGATTTACAAGTAGATAAAGCAAAGACAAAAGTTAATTTGAGAGTTTGAATTCTTGTTTAAAAACTGCCAAAACCTATTGAGGAATAATTTGGTATTTTGAGACTAAATTTAAGGAAACAAAAACAAATGCACAATGAACGTTCATTAAAGATGAATCAACTTCAAAACCAGACTGAAGCAAGGCAGACAAAGCACCTGTAACCATACTCTACAGTCTGCTAAGAATATTTAAAACTGATCCCCTCCCTCTATGATACGTTGCAACTGATTGTCTTCGTTCATTCCATAGATAGGTCATCGACATTCGCATAAAGGGTGGTATCATACTCTCTCATGTTGAAATAAGTGTCCTGAATACGAAAAGGAAAGAAAAATACCTTGACATTAGTGTGTGTCAATATGGTTCTAAGTCTAACATATGGAAGAGGATGTAAAAAATTATGGTAATAATGATGATGAAGATAATACTAGTACTAATACGATGCATCAAAAAATTGCTCAATTCTGATTGGTTAAGATAAATGCAGTTTTCAGGTAATTCAATGCAGAAGAGGGTTAATTCAGCGCAAAGAAGTAACAATACTTAATCACATGACTTTTCTTGTGCAGTTTTGAATAAATAAGCACTTCTAAATTTTTTAAAGACCACAAATTGCACGAGCCCTACGAGCTATTTTGCTAGTCTTTGCAAAAAAATTAATTCATTCTTGTTTATTCAAAATTGCACTCGAAATCCTGTGACTACCTATACTAGTAATAATAACAATAATAATAACAATAATAATAACAGTAATAATAACAGTAATAATAACAATACTACTACTACTAATAATAATAATAATAATAATAATAACAACAACAACAATGATAATCTTATAATAATACATACAACAAGTCATCCTTTTTAGAGAAGAAAGTTAATCCCGTACAATTCAAACGGGGATTATTAGGGGAGGGTCACAAGCGGGAAATATGCGAGCCGTTAATTTCCTTTTGAATTATCACCCAGATTTCGTGACTACCATATACAACATGTATCTCTTTGGTTTAAATCCTAAGATATCTAAGTAGAAACATACACAGGCTTTCAAAACATATACATTTAAATGATAGTGCTACCTAATAATCTACTACTACGGCTAAAGAAAAACGTAATTTTTCACTCACATTTTTGTTTTTAGACATACGAGTGATAACGTCTTTAAGTGAAGGGAATGTCGGTCTGTCGTTTGGATTTTCCTGCCAGCACTGGACCATAATCTGGTAACTAAAGACAAGTGATAAATATAACATCTACAATAATATTAAGAATCTTAACTCCGAGATTTAGTTTTCGGATTTGGTTACATCTTGAGATCTCGCGATTTTGCCGTATAAACACAGACATCTGTGATTTTTACACTGCACAAGGTATTAACTCGTTGGCATTTTCAAAGCCTACTTGGTCAAATAAAACAAATTTCAAACTTTTGATTAAACTTTTTTAAAGACATGTTTCGGCGTGACACGTGCCATCTTCCATTGTGTCGTATCCGTTTACTTAGTTTTCACACGTTACATTAAAAATTACATTATCAATTTCAATCAAATGGCAGTGTTAGAAATCACAGTACCAAACCTAAATACAAAACCATCAAATACCAAAACTTCCAAATGTCAAACTTGCGCGCGCGCATGTCTCGTTTCCGGTTAACTTACTGTAACAGTACGGATGATGGCATGAGTCATACCAAAACGTGTTGATTCAGCTGAATGGTCATAAATTAATGACAGGACATCAAACACTTATACCTCTCATTGCTATCTGTGGTAACAAGGATTAAAAACAACAGCAGCAGAACACTTACAGCTGTTCATCAACATGTTTAGGTTTTGGCATTCTGTATCCTTGCTGAAGTTTCTTTGCAATTTCGCGAGCGTTAATCGCGGGGTAAGGAGATCCACCTATGGACATAAAATGAACGCTTAAACAAAAGTAATGAGGCAAGAATAATATTAACATAGTGCTTTGTTTTAACGATAAAACTGTTATATATTTGCTAGATTCAGACGTACCTACAGTAAATATTTCGTACAGAACAACACCGAAACTCCACCTACAAATGACAAAAAAGGAAAAAGCAATGAAATGCATGAGGCAGCGAAGTACTCTGAGTCAAGTAAAATATGATAATTCGCGATTTTAACTTTCTCGCTGCTTAGAAAACAGATTTTATTTTAATCAGTGGTCCCGACATCATCGGCCAAGATCTATTATGGGATTTTGCACGTAGCCTGAAGTCTTAAAAAAGAAATATGAATAAATCGAGACAGGAAAGAGGTTAAGTCTTTATATATTAATGTTTAAACATGGTTCAAGAATGAGCGACCAGCTTGGCTATCAACTTGAGTTCCTGCAAAGTATAGCTTTTTTTACTACGCAAAAAATTCAAGCTCCCTGCTGAGATAAGTTTTCAAACGACATGAGTTTCAACATCAACTGATTTTCGTCAATCTTATTTGCCAGCATCCTTTAAGGCCGCTAGACAGTCTCCATGATCATTTTTTAGAAAGCATGGAGATTCAAATGACGGCCAAAAAACGCATTATCTGGGAAGCTATACAGGAAGGAGAACTAAGCTAGTAAGAGGTATGCTTGCGATGGTTAAAGGGATACCGGTAACTTTGAGCTCATTTCTTTTCAGAATACAGCATAAAATCTTTGTGATCCCGTTTGTGGTGAACGTTTGCTCAAGTCAAACCTAACTACTAATCTTAACTTCACCTTAGCGAAATTTTTGTGACAAAATGAAAGTGGAAGTGAAAATAAAAAGATATTTCAATCTGCGTGCATTGTAGGACTTCTTAGAAATTAGAATGACCAAAATCCGCACCTGGAGTTGAGTCATACCCAGATGGCTACGTTTAGAGCATCTTAAAGGAGGGAATACTTACACATCACTTTGCGTTGTGTATTTTCCATATACTAAACCCTCATAGGCGGTCCACTTTACTGGCAGACGGCCCTGTTCAAATCACACAACAGAAATATTAAATCCATATCGATTTCTTCCTTCATTCAGAGGAGAATTGGTGAACTTTCCAAAGTACGACATCCTAAGTAGAAATTGATGTAAGAGCGAAAAAACTCTTCTAAAATGGAGGCGAGTTAAAAGAGAAAAGGGAATAACTCAGTTTCCTACCCGACTTGTTTTGTTGTAGATATCATCCTGGTTAACATTCCTCGCCATTCCAAAGTCTGTCACCTTACACTTCTCTCCTTCACCAACAAGAACATTTCTGGCCGCTAAGTCACGGTGGATGATCTGACACATGGATGTAATGTAATTTAAAAAATGGAGCCATTCAGAACAGGAAAATCGGTAAGTTCTGAGTTCGGTCATCCAATTGTCAGAAACCAAAAACTTTCTCTAATCGACGGCAGAGCTGGAAATTTACCATCTTTCTTTTAAATTTACTTTCACACGACACTTTCAACATGACTGATCCTAATAGTATGCGGAACGTTGTCATAAATGAACTTAACTTGCTCACCAAAGAGTTTTCTATGGGTCGGTAGTTCGTCTACCAGTATGGAGTAAGATGGGGACAAAATTGGCATCCTCTGTTCGTGTCGTCGATTCATACTTCGTGGAGCTATATAGTTCTCATTTCCTGTCCTCCAAACTCCCTCGTCATGTCGTCGGAAGAATTTTCTGTTTCACGTGTTATCTTCGTGGCGCGTATGACGTCGCTTCTTAAGTCACTCCACATATCGCGGGCGTCGAAACGTAATTCGTGTCGTAGCAGTCATTGCCCGTGACCAGCGGTAAGCACGTCTTTAATGGTTATGTTGTGTATCGCCTCTTACTGGGAAAATATCCTTTAGCACACTGAGTTCTCATTCAACTAACGTTAATTGAAGAATACCACTTTTAATGTTGTGCGAACGTTGGACCGGTTTCGGTAATGAGCGCATCGAAATTGACTATGCTTTGTACCAGGTGGATCATTTTCTAACGTTGTGCATTCAATGTTAAACCGTTTGGAAAGCACTGTGTTTGATCACTTTCTTGACCTCTTGATATAGGCATATAGTTATCTGCGTTTTTGACTACACTGTACGAATGCCCGTATATTCAACTCTTTTTGCTTTTCTCTTTGAATATTTGTGTGAATCAACTAATAGATTCTAACGACAACTTCTGGCTTGAGCTTAAGCTCTTTTTTGAATTGCAGTAATATGCAACACAACTAAAGAAAATTTCTCAAGGTAGATTTCATACTGTACATTTAGGAATTCCTGAATGCCAACTTTCTGTTGAGGATATCTTAAAATTAATCACCGGTTGTCAGCAAAAACCAGCCCTTGGCTTCCAAACACCCATCATGCTCTCTTTTGTTTTTGAATGTCCAGAAAACTGCAAATGTCGGCCAAGTGCTTCAACTTGTGACTTGCATTTGAATTTGCCTCATCATATCAACTCCCTTGAATTAATGACCAAGGCTGGTATCTCAATGCTAAAGGAGTGTTTTGGTTTTGGTATTGTCTAGGCTTTGTTTCATTGGATACAGCAGATGAAGGCATTCAAAACAAAATATTTATGTTATTGAAGGCTGTAAAACTGCCTCGCTTGTTTTACAAATTTTGCATGTTCTTGACTTGTGAATGAGAGGTACACATCACTGCTGTGTTGTTCAAGTTATGAAATTGATAGTCAACGACTACCACAATAATGTCTCTCCCCATATATGATGAAAAAAATATATATTCATCGGCCTGATTGCTGAAATTAAAACAGTTTCAGAGGCCATATAGATTTTGGACCCCGCCAAGCATGCATTGTGGAGAATGCTAGAACTGTTAACTATTAATGAAACTAGTTACATTATTACTTTTATTTAGTTATGTTGCAGTTAATTTGAATTTGTGATGAACATCAAAGTAATGTTTACACAAGGTAAGGATAAAAGGAAGAATGAGTTTGCGGAATGGCATGACGGGTGGAATGGCGTAATTTTTGTGGATTATGCCATCCTAACTTTGCCTTTACCTCTAACCCTAGCCCTAACCCTAATCCTAATGTTCAAAAGTTCGAAGTTTAGGGCTAGGTTGTGGTACTAGACTGCCGACAAATTTTACCATTTCACGTACTCATTCCACCTTTGATCATACTAGTGTATACGCATAGCTTATTTACTTGTTTCACTCATTTCATCTCCAAAATTTGTTCTGTTTTCTTGCTTAATAATTGTTATTTCAAACTCTTTCCAGCGAGCAGAAATTCTATTCTTGTACTCGATTTTGTAAAAAACAAGCCATGAATAATCTCTACAGCTTTGATGTTAAGGTCTAGTCCATGACAATCAGATCGATCAAGTGGGTTAACTTGTGATTTAAAAAGATTGAAAGACTCTCTAGGTAAGGGTCATGGTATTTCTGGAACTTCAATCGTCCCCTCTTTCCATGTTTCCCTATCATATTCTTCATAAGGTGGAGGATCATGAAAATCAATTCAATAGGATAAAGTTTCACTATCAGGTACATCCTCGTCCAAATAATACACCATACGTCCAGAGTTGAGCAGGTGTCATGTTTAATTTAGATCTGAGAGGATGGTTGTCAAAGCCATCTTAAAACAAGGATAGTTGCAAGTGTATTCAAGGCAAATATACATAATGCAAGCAATATAAGTGCCTTTCCAAACGATCTAACGTTGAATGCCCAACGTTAGAAAATGATCCATCTAGTACAAAGCATAATCAATTTCGTTGCGGTTATTACTGAAACAGTACACTTTCGAGCGTTCAAGAAACATTACAAATGGCATTCTTAATAAAAAGAGTTAAAGTTAGTTGAATGATAACTCAGCGTGCTGGAGGACATTTTCACAGAAAGAGACGATACACAACATAACGATTAAAAACGTGCTTACCGCTGATCACAAGCAGTGACTGCTACGACACGAATTACTTTTCGACGACACAAATTACCTTTCGACGCCACAAAATGTGGAGTGACTCAAGAAGCGAAATTAGACAAGCCACGAAGGTAACACGAGAAACAGAAACATCTGACGACATGACGAGGAGGTTTGGGGGACAGGAAATGAGAATTACATAGCTCCGATCTAACTCCATACATTAGATGCGATAGAGGACTTGGATTTCTTTCTCAGTCTTACGCTTGCGACGAAAGGAATAATATTTTCTTTACATGTTGTTTTTCCCTTTTTTGCAGTGGGGAAGAGGGGAGTGAAACAAGTAGGTGCCCGTATGGGTTATCATTGTGCACAACAATTCAGCCTTGATAAACATGACAAACCAGGTAATTTCGCCATAATCCGAGAATTTGTGGTTCATTAGCGTCGAAGGGTTACTTTTACCCTCCAAATCATCCTTCAGAGCAAAGTTTTGCTACGACCTAACACTTTTTCAGAGTGGAAAACAAGGTGCTACACTGACACACGCTTCGTGAATACCTTGTTAGCAGAAAGGAAGTTCATTCCATCAGCAATCTGCAGGGCAAATTGTATCAGTTGCTCTGAGGTTAGGTTGGTCTCAGGTTTAACATCCGGATCTTTAAAGTATGTGTCATTTAGGCCGCGACTCTTCCTTAGGTAACCCAACAGATCACCATAAGGTATGTATTCAATCAGAACAAGCAAAGGATCTGCAAAATAACCCTTTGTTTCAAAATGAAACTTAACTAAAATTCAGATTTGACGGAACAAACGAAAGTGTCATCGATATCTTTTTCCTATTTTACCAGTTTTAGTGACGCATCCCATCAGTTTAATGACATGAGGATGAGGCCTCAGTTTCTTCATCAAATCCAGCTCTGACAGTAGATCTTTCTTGTCATTATCCGGGGCATTTTCTATCAAAAATAAAGAAAAACATTGCCATTACACATAAGCATGTGAGGAGGTGTATAAAAGTTAAGCCAGATGACGTCTCTTCTACTGATTCATTTTCACGTTTGAGACTTGTAGTTGCATAGAATACAATGTGCTCATACGAAATGTTCTCATACGAATAAGGAATGCCACTCTTAGAGTACGCAACAAACTATCCCAACAGGAAAGAGCCGCTTTGCCATGTATGTTGTTCAAAGTTCGCATTTTTCCTTGTAAAAATTGTTGATTTATTGATAATCTGTCCTGTAATTACGATTTAAATGATAGGTACCAACTACTTGTCTCCGCAACATACCTTTCAGCATTTTAACTGCCACTGTTGTTGCTCCCTTTATTCCATTAATATCTGATACAGTTGCCTTAGCAACCTGACAGAAAGCACCCTTTCCAATAACTCTCGAGATTTGAACATTTTCCCGTTTTACTTCCCATTTCTTGAACTTTGTTGTTATTCCCTTAATGGACATATACTCAGAGTCCATTTGATGTTTTCTTCTTGGTACTGCGTTACTTGATGGCGACGATTGAATAACTACCGTTTCCTCTTCGCTCAAAATCAGACGTTCGGATATATTCACGTATGCTTCACTGGCTTGAACTGGGTTCCCTTGATCCTAAAAGCGAAGTGAAAAAAATGACGAAAACCAAATGCAACGGTGACTGTAACGAAACACCTGACAAGTGATCATGAAGTCTGATAACAACAAGGCACTTGGAAACTTCATCTCTTTCCATCAAAAATTCTCCATATTTACCTGATTATCCGTAGCATTTTTGCGATGATAACGGCAACTGAAAAAAATCCAGAATGAACATGTTGTATATAAATATGGGCAGCATAGTGGTAGAACTTGACGCGAAGTCGTTACTTTCTTAAAAGTTATAGCAATACCCAGCACTAATCAAAATGAGGGGCCAAACAACCAAAACGAACTTAAAAAAATTCATTTTAGCCGTAATGAAAACTAACATTATGCGAGATACCTGGGCGATCAAGTCCATAGATATTAACTGAGTGAAAAATGTACCTCGATGTAAATTACTTTCAATTTGAGTTAGCCAGAAAGTTCGAACTGATAGAAGTCGAGTGAGCGATATTCCACTACATGAACAAATCCTCGAGTGAAGCTTTACACGTTATTTAGTTCATTCCGATTGGGAATACATAATCAAAGTAAATTTTCAAATACTGAAAATATTACACATGCCCCCTGACACTTTATGGTACAATCTGATTTCTTGCTCACAACAAACAATAAACCAATTCAATTTCAAATTTCTGCCCAAAAATTCTAACTTTTTTACTCTAATCCAACCGTCCGCGTTGTTTGAGATTATCTAATGAGCTCTCTCCGTCAGTGAGCATGCTCAGCGAGATGTTTGCAAATATATGATTGCATCTAGAAACTACAAAACACCATGATACAAATAGAATACTGTCTGTACCTACCTCGCATTTTCAGTCGAAGGACCTACGAAACAAAAAAATCAGTATCCTAAATTTATCCATTACTGAAGTAAAACGCGTAGCAGACTTTTTCTCTCAAGTCTACTTAGAAAAGACAGCCCTAAGGTCTCGGATACCTCTGTGACCTGAATTTTTAAATAACCTCAAAAGGCTTTTTCATCACTAATGTATTACGTTTGTCACATGCTAACTTATTTAACTGAGGTAAACAAAAACCAATAAAATCACAGAACAAGAAACCAAACACTGAAGGAGTTCACCAAACAAATCACACAACAGCACACTTCAAAGCGTATAAAGGAGTACCTGGATTATTACGCCTCCTCCATAGCAAGATAACGACCACAAAGAAAATCACCAAAAGGACAAAAATGACACTTGAATACACAACATGAAAAATGGTTCCCTCCTTGAGCCAATCGAAACCTAACAAAGTAACGATCTATTTTAAATAAAGCGACGTTTTTGGTTGTTCATGCCACACATATTGCAGGGGAATTGTACCTAAGGTGTTACAGCCTAAGAAAATATCTGTATTCTATATCTGTATTCTCTTATCAATGAAAAATGTTTATATATGCATAAGGGATGAAATCTCTAAAACGCAACGTAATATTAACCAAAGAGAATAGGCATTGATGCGCATTTAATCAGGTAGCATGGCATGAAAAGCCTACTTGAGTGCATCGGCTTTTAAAACTGAAAAACCGAAAAAATGACACAAAATATCACTCACCTGCTTTCGAAGTTTCCGTCTGATTTTCTACAGAACAAAGACAGTAACCATTAACTATAAGCTTTAACTTTTCTGATGGTAATTGTAGAAAGTCTTGTTTCCTGAGGACAGGTTCTCGATAATTCATGGTGAAAAAAAATTGTCACTTATCTTAAAACAGCTTTGCGTCTTCCTTATTTCAAAAAGGTATATCAGTTTGCTTGGTTTCGTTTCGGTCTTTCTTTTTAACTTGTAGCTCTGTTCGTTTATATCTTGTTTGACAGTCAAATTTTAAAAAGCTTTCTAGAAAAGGAAGTGTAGAAGCTTCGTACGTTCTCGTCTAGAATGACAACTCTTTGCTTGTTTTTGGATACGAGTACACCACAGTTAATGCACTTGGATACAGCTAGCACACCTGGCAAACTCTACTAACTGACTTCCCCTAGAAAACTAAAAAGATTTTAAGGGAGTGTTATTGTGTACTTGTTGTTGTAGCTGGATCCTTTGGATTCACATCCAATACAGCATTGACTTTGAGAGAAGACAATCTTCCATCCGAAATTTCATCTTGGATTGGTTTCAAAGGGTCAATCGCCCCTTTTCCAAACATAAGCCTAACAATGGCAACGACACTACCAGGCCTAAAACCGAATTAAAAAGGAAATAAGAATACGATTTCTATTCCTAACAAAGCGATATAACGTTAAAGTTCCTTTATGGAAAACCGGTCCAAGAACAAAAGAGAATGTACCAACCTAAATTCCACAACTGTCACCTTGTAAAGCTCCTTTCCAGACTGTTGCGCGTAAACATTCCAGATCTAAAGACACGGAATGGATTATTGTTCAAGTTGTGTGCTGACATATACAGCAATGAGAACCTTGTCTAATAGAAGAGTGAATGATATAGAAATGTATTAAAGGAAGATTTATTTGCAATGAGCAGCTATTAAAGTGACTGAGGTAATACGGTATTCCATCAATTGCACAAGAGTACCTTTATAAACATGCACAAGTTTATCTATCGTGTCTTCACAGCCAACCTAATCAAAGCGAGATAAGTTCACACCCAAAGTTCAATGCCGCCAAAAACCTTTGTTTCCCCACCTCTAGCTTAGCCTCGATCGGTCTACTTCTTGGCAGCGTATTGGGATGTCATTTATTGATTTCCCCAAAGAAGCTTCTTCAGGTGAGACTCTAGACTAGAAACAGCCCCACTTTCCCAGCTGGAATCCCGCAAGTGTCAAAAGCAAGAAGGGAAATGACTGAATCGACACAGACGTAACTTAATGACTTCTTTCCTATGAATCATGCAATCAGCTATTGATCCGAGAAAGAGAGGTAGCTCATGGTTTAAGAAAGACTTCGCATCGAACGCTATGACCATGAAATGACGTTCAAACCTTTCTTTAGTGGGTTTGATGAAGAGAAAATTGTTTGTATTTTAACGCATGAAAGTTATTAAGGCTCAATTTTCTAAACTGTAATTATAAGTCACGCTCAATAGAATATAATTGTAACTGATCCTGACATCATGCACTTCATCTGAAGAAGAAAACATTCTCTATCTTCGAAAATTTGCTCAAAACATCAGGAACAACAACGAGGATCTCAGGCTGTTTAAAGATACCGCTGACTAGCATGCTTGTTGATCGCCTTGCAAGTTGTGAGAGCATCGTCCCCAGGTTCCAGACTTCGTCAATTGTTGCCCCCCTCCCCAACTTCCGGACTGGGCTGGGTTGTTCAAAGCTGGGTTAAGATAACCAAGGGTTGGTGTGAACTCTGATTTCAGATCTAAAAGCTTTAAAAGAAATTCAGTATAATTCTTTTTGATAAGAATTTGATGATTGGATGCTCGATATAGAATAGAGGAAATGATCCCAAAAAGGCTTTCGAACAAAGGAGTAAAGAAATCCAGATTAAAATTTAACCCTGTGTTAGCACTAATCCGCCTCCGAACAACTGGGCCCTGGTCTCTAAATCCCCTTGAGGAAACTCTTCTACAATCAGTGCTGAAGAGTTTTATTACAGTTTTTATTCAGTATAATGAAGGGCTGGAAAATAACCTAACTAGAGCTTCGCTTTTAGGCTTGGCTAAATCTATATTATATAGATAGATAGATAGCAGTTTTCAAGAAGTTTGTGGACTCCTCGACGTGTGCGTGACCAGCGGCGTTCACGACGAAAGGTAAACCTTAAAAGACTTTCAGCTGTTATTCACTTTTAAACCTAAAATATTTAGATTACAGTGCACAGAAGTTTTTGTGTTCAATATTGTTGACTCACTGAGAAGTACAGGCAAAGTGAGTAGATAAAATCATTGTCCTTGTTTGTTTGTTTTCTGCTTTGTCTTTTTCTTCATTTTCTGCTACTGTGACCCACATACTTCTCGTTATATTTGATTAAGAAAGACGTATTCAAAGATTTCTTTTTAACTTCAGCCGTGTGTAACACCAAAAGCAGCATATCAGAATGAAAAAGAAGAAACTTCTTTGTTACGCGAAATGTGGTCGCAAGTCGGGAGATCTTTTTCTTAGCACTTTCTACGCATCTTTAGTGTGTGCCGTTTAGTTCAAGACACTATGGCGAAACAAAGGCTTCCCGCTTGATCGCCTGATGTAAAAGCGAACCAAAAGTGATTTAATTTTTGTTCTAGTCCTTGTTTGAGTTCTCCAGATTAAAAAATCACTTCATTTAGGCGCTTTTAGAAAGGATAAATGGCGGAACGATTGATTCTCCAATATATGCAAATACCCGATTTCTAGCTCACCTGTAATTTCTATCGTCTTCAAACTAAACTTTTGAAGTCAAATTTCAAGTCAAAACGCTTCAGTAACAGCTTAATTTACCGTCTTAGCAGATCACTTTAAAGACCGAGTTCTCCGTTCTTCCCTCCTCGTTCATCGTTTATCGTTTTTAGTAACATCCCTCCAGAACATCACATTCTGTTCCATTGTTTACGTTAATATGCATGGTCATGCTGATACTGATTTATAAATGACATGTCAAGCATACACATAGCATGTGTTACACTGTTAAGAATGAGGATTCAAGAATGATTTTTCAGGATTTGAAAAAAGAAAAATCACAAGCACCCTTTGAGTTTAGTGAAGAGCATGTACGCGACCTCTCAGTATCAATGAAATTAAGGGTTTGATCCTTTGAGCTTGGCGGGAGGTCCAATAACTCAGTGCGACATCGTTTAGTCGCATCGCTTTTTATGTTGCGATTTTAGAACTAGCTGTCATTTCAGCGAAGAATGTGGTGGAAGGAATAACCACCGTGTTTGACGAAAATATGGTATTGATCACCAACAGACTCGGACCTCTGGTCAGAGAAAGCATCTCGCGGTGGAGGAAAATGAAAATTAAAGGAATATGTAGGAATATTGTATGTATAATGTCTACGTAAACTTTCTGCACACTTGAC